GTGAAGTCGAGAAGAAGGTTGCTATTTGCAGACGACCTTGTTTTATTAACATCTTCTGAAACTGATCTTAGTGCTGCCTGGAATGGTTCGCCACCGAGTGCAACCTGGCCGGCATGCGTGTGAGCGCAGCTAAAACAAAAAGCCTAGTGCTTGCTCGTTCTCCTGCCCGTTGCTCTCTTAAGATTAACTTAGAGGTAATGAGGCAGGTGGAAAATTTCAGTTCCTCGAATTTGTATTTACTAGTGATGGAAAACTGGAGGAAGAGGTCGAGCGGCGAACTGGAGTAGCCAGTGGCGTTCTACGTGAACTAGCCCGACCCATTGTGGCTAAAGCGGAGCTCAGTCTGAGAAGTAAGCTCTCGGTGTTCAAGTCGATCTTTATCCCCATACTTATCTGCGGTCATGAATCATGGCCCGTCATTGAAAAACTTGGAACCCTGGTGCAGGCTGCTGAAATGGGCTTTCGCTGGCCTTACGCGTCTCGACATGGTCCGGAATTCTGACAGCCGGAAGAGCTTTAGTATGCAGCCTTTGCTTCTCCAGATTGAGAAGTCGCAGCCGCGATTGTTGGGATATGTTGCGGGTACCTGCAGAAAAGAAGGCTAAGCAACTGTTCGTTGCAAATGCGACCGGCATGACACCCAGGGTAAGGCCTAGCTTAACCTGGCGCAAACATGTGGAAGGATTCTGTTCCAGACTCCATTTGTCTTTTCCCAATGCTCAGACTTTGGCACAGGATCGGGAACGTTGGAAGCTCTGTCTGACGCGTCTACCTCCGTGACCCGAAAGTAGAAGCGGCGATGGAAGATGAAGATGAAGATTATTTTGCTAAAAAAGTTTTTAGTGTTCCATTCAAGGAGAAGTCTAATTTATTAGTTGACTAACTTGTTTACTTTTTCAATGATGTAGCCATGTGAACATCCGGCGTCATTGGGTTCTGCAGTATCTTCTATTCATCTTTGATGATCGATCAAAGCATCTGCACGTTTTAAACTTGTTGAAAAGTACTCTGAACCTTTGATGTTTTGAATGATTTTGAGATCGAATTCTTTGCTTAATTAATACCAGTCAAAAGCGGATTTCAATATTAACGATTTCAATAGAATAGGATTTGAGATCGGCGTCCGATGCGTTCGTATGTAGTCCGTAAAACGTCAGCATATTCATTTTCCATTCATAACGCCAATTGTGAATCCTTTTTTTGCCAATGGCATGTTCAGGCGTTGTGAAAGGAATTTTGCAGCAGATTCGCTACTGGGTGTTTCTAGCTACGCTTTGACAGCTCTCCTTCAGATTTATACCAGCCGACGGTTAGTCGTTATTGCAATAATTCAGCTCAGATCCACCGAAGAGATTCTGCACCCTGCTATATGTTAGATAAAGCGGTTGTGGATGTAAATGTGCTTGCTTTGATGAGACATTGAACAACGGGAATGACCGCTATTTCATCTTGTTTGAACCACAAGCTTCCTCGGAATAAAAAATTAACTTTATTGCGTCTCTAGTTTAAGGCGGTTAAATCAATTGAGAATTAACCGTCCTTGATACCATATTAGTTTAACTCCGTGCCACTCGTCTGTATCATCGTTGGAAAAATGGCGGACACAAATGATGAACGATTTTGCCAAAACCGCTCAGTCTTTCTCAAATTATACCCTTTCTATTGCATGATTGAACAATATCCATATTTCCTATCGCTCCCAGTTCATTGCTTTCATCTAATATTAAACAGCACTCAGTTAAGTCAACGAAGAAGGTATAATAATTGAAGAAGTGGCGGAGTATCTCGTTTCCTACGGTTTCTTGGAACTTTGAACAGATGTGTGAAAAAAAGAAGAGGTTACAACGTTAAAGTCAAAGAACGGCTACAGGAGCGGTATCCCACTGGCTGTAGAGTTCCCCAGGTAAATGTCTTTTCGCCTTTACTATTCAGTATTTACTTTAACTTTTTACTGCAAAACAATGCTGATTCCGGCATTTGGTGACCTTTCATTCTGGTATACTTATTTAAGGATATCAAGCATGGCATTATGCTCTCCCAGAGTGGGCAAAAGGTCAGGTTTTGACGAACAGTACGGATGTAATGGCCCAATCGGTTGTAGTAGTTTCCATATGCATTTCAGAGGTGCCGGGTTTAGACGCATCACTCAGCATAGCTAATTTTCTTGAGCAATAAAATCGATAATAGATCGTCAACCTGTGAATCATACGGGACTGCATTACAGTAGTCATACGAACCCATGCGAAATACAGCCATGTTGTTGACACGTGCTTTTACCAGCTGCAACTCAGCACTTCACCCATCCAATGATTTCCTGTAAATCAGCACATTCTATAAATATAGATCTAAATTAAGAGTGAAAATTTTTATTAAATACTGATATTGCATTTAAACCTTCGATGCTTCTATGAAAGTACTCATTCGTTACATGATCGTATTGCTCACATTTCATTGTACATCGAAGCTGATGCTACTGTTGGCTGTTCAACCGTTGTACTTCGGTCTTTTGCCGCAGCTGCTGTCTCTGTGCCTCAGAGAAAACTGGCATTATGCATTTACATATTCAGAGCCATTCAAAATTTCTTTATTGTTAATTTGAAACTTCAGCATAGACGGTAGATGATCGGTTCACGTGATTGACGAATCTGAACAGAAAAAATATAGCTAATTATGAATGTTTCTTTATTTGGCATATTGGTGAACATCATTTTATTTCAAGTGTAAAATGTTGAGGTGATGTGATATGAAGAATTTTAAGCAGCGTGGATGGGTATCTGGCAGAGGAGGCAGCTTTCTCGGTTTAGGTATCACCTTTTATGTATCAGGTGTATAGGTTGGTTCGCTTTTTATCATTGTTTTTACCTTTTTGCTGTTATTTAGAACCTTCTTGTGTTAGTGTCACTAGTACTTAAGCATGGTGTTTTGTTTGTTAAGGGTGGCGGCAAAATTCCTTCCCTATAAAGGAAGTTCAGGTTTTGACGATTGCTCTCGTCTCGATTGTTTGCTGCTACGGTTTCCAAGCTGATGTTCTATTGAGTTAACAGTTTTCTCATGTTGCCGGCTAGTCAAATAAGTAACTCCCATTCACAATTTACCCGTCGGTTGAAATCTCATCGCAGAATTTCGGTGTTGTAGCAAACTCCATTTATGTAAATGAACATCCAGTAGAGTATCAGATATGTTGCACTCTACTCGCGCACCATCCGTTGCACTTTAACAAATAAGCATGTTTGTTACGATTGCTAAGTCTGGTGGTGTCCTTCAGCGCTACATTTAGCATAATATAGTCAGCATAGACAATTATATGCACCCTTTATAACGGCAGCGTTGCTGTTTCTGCTCTTTTCAATATCAGTCTGATTCAGTATGTTTTTAGAGCAGTGCCAATGTGTCTTGGAGCTGCGTACGGAACCTGTGGCAGTGTTTCATGGTACTGGATCCGACAAGCATTCAGCTAAAGTCGAAGCTGCCTTCAACGCCTTGGAATATCTGCAGATATTTTTTTGCGAAGCGAACAGAAGAACCAATGATTAAATGGCACTTGACGTCATCGTTCTTTTAGTACAATTTGGAAAATGCCTAGAAATTTGTTGCGATTCGATTTCGGTTTGCTACGATGCCATATAGATTTTTTTATTCAGTTGTTAGATATTAAAAATAAGGTATATCAGCAGTGTCAAATCGTACATTATGTAGGTTCGGTCTACAGGGCAGATGAGGTCTGTTTTCATCATTGGAGTTTTTATTTCAGTGAGTGATTCTGTCATTTTTCATACTCCAGTTGCGAACCTGGTCGCAAGGAGCGGACGCCGACCAAAATAACGAATCGATCAGCCAAGTACGATAATGTATGTGCCTCTTTGCTATTACTGTAGACAAAACTTATCTCGAATCCGAAAATTGTTCATTAAGAGCCTCTGTTAACCTGATCTGACAAGGCTTTTTTTTTATTTAGGGACAGTTTAAATTTGGATCCACCATTCGTGTTAATTCAGTAGAAGGCACCACGGAATCGTTTCATTAAGCCATAACGTTTTGAGAAGAACATAAGAACTCATATGCAATGCGAGTGAAAGGCTCAAACCACGACATCTAGAGAAAGAGGGAAAATTCAGTTCATTGACTACATGAAGGTTTGGAAAATCTGTTGTTATTGTTTTCCAAACTTGTGTATTCGCCGTTCGATTGCTCCTAATGGAAGATGACATTGGTAAGTATCAGTTGCTGTGGATAAATACTTCATTAATAGCAGGTCCAGATAAGTTTTTTTATCACTTCACTTTTTCCGCTGATCCTCTCAGGTTTGCTGACACTCGTTAGCAACTACATGTTAGTGTCGGGTATGGTATCGGTTCTTGCGTAAAATGGCCGAACTCTGCCACTGTTATATCTCTAACCATTAGTCAGTATTCGTGGTTGTCAGCAATAATGTTTTGTCTTATTAAAATGCGCTGTCAGATTCTTTAGCATTCTTTGATTAGGCATTTAGCCTTTTATTTTCATGTAAATACGGCAGTTAGTTCACATTGTGAGGTATTTTTTACTGATTGCTGGCTGCAATAAAATAGGCAGTATCAGTTCAATTAATGAGATGGAAGGTCAGCGTCTTAAATCCTAGATTTTCCTCTATGGTATACACCTTGATTCACCAACAGCAGGTTTGTAATCGATGATTTTTTCTAATGCATCCAGAAAGGAAGGCTAAGCAACTGTTCCTTGCAAATCTGACGGCAGAAGGCCCAGGGGATGGCCAAGATTAACCTGGTGCAAACATATGGAAGGAATCTGTTCCAGACTG